TAAAGAAGTAAAGAGGTTTGTCATTGACCGAACTGTTAGTGTCTGTATCCATGGCTTCTTTTCCGAATCATTACGAGTTTAGAAATTACCAAAAACATTTACAGACTAAAGCCGTCCTGTTGTGATGAAACAAACACCCCTTAACACCATATTAACCAAAACATCAAACAAGTCAAGTAAAATTGATGTCACAAATCACACACTTCACTCTGTTGCCGAGGTCGTCTAATATCTTTACAAAAATCCATTACGGATGTTATTTACGTAGTTTCACATGAACATATTATATACATTGAAAGATAACTGAGATCTCATTTTCACTGACAAAACTGATGACAACTTATCAATCCGGACTGTTTTTTTCTTCAGTTTTTCAATAAACACGCAGTTAACAGTCTCCGCGTAAAAATATAAATATAACCATGTGCAGTTGTGTGTTAGCGATTTCCTTGACAGAATCCACTTCCTTATATAACGACGAGGTATAGGAAATATTATAAACATCAGACTCACATTCAACAAATAATCTGTTCAATTGTCACTTTTAGAAATACACGAGACAGTACATGTGACAGACAGGTCCGTCCTGTATATATGTGTCAATATTACAGTAACAGAGACGTCCCCTCCTGTATATAGGTGTCAATATTACAGTAACAGAGACGTCCCCTCCTGTATATATGTGTCAATATTACAGTAACAGAGACGTCCCCTCCTGTATATATGTGTCAATATTACAGTAACAGACACGTCCCTCCTGTATATAGGTGTCAATATTACAGTAACAGAGACGTCCCCTCCTGTATATATGTGTCAATATTACAGTAACAGAGACGTCCCCTGCTGTATATATGTGTCAATATTACAGTAACAGAGACGTCCCTCCTGTATATATGTGTCAATATTACAGTAACAGACACGTCCCTCCTGTATATAGATGTCAATATTACAGTAACAGAGACGTCCCCTCCTGTATATATGTGTCAATATTACAGTAACAGAGACGTCCCTCCTGTATATATGTGTCAATATTACAGTAACAGAGACGTCCCTGTTGTATATATGTGTCGATATTACAGTAACAGACACGTCCCTCCTGTATATAGATGTCAATATTACAGTAACAGAGACGTCCTCTCCTGTATATATGTGTCAATATTACAGTAACATAGACGTCCCCCCTGTATATATGTGTCAATATTACAGTAACAGAGACGTCCCTGTTGTATATATGTGTCGATATTACAGTAACAGACACGTCCCTCCTGTATATATGTGTCAATATCACAGCAAAAGACAAGTCCATCCTATATATATATGTAAATATTACAGTAACAGACACGCCCCTCCTGTATATATATATCAATATTACAGTAACAGAGACGTCCCTCCTGTATATATGTGTCAATATTACAGTAACAGAGACGTCCCTGTATATATGTGTATATATGTGTCACCAACAGATATATACAGTAACAGACACGTCCCTCCTGTATATAGGTGTCAATATTACAGTAACAGAGACGTCCCTCCTGTATATAAATGTCGATATTACAGTATCAGAGACGTCCCTGTTGTATATATGTGTCGATATTACAGTAACAGACACGTCCCTCCTGTATATATGTGTCAATATCACAGCAAAAGACAAGTCCATCCTATATATATATGTAAATATTACAGTAACAGACACGCCCCTCCTGTATATATATATCAATATTACAGTAACAGAGACGTCCCTCCTGTATATAAATGTCGATATTACAGTATCAGAGACGTCCCTCCTGTATATATGTGTCAATATTACAGTAACAGACACGTCCCTCCTGTATATAGGTGTCAATATTACAGTAACAGAGACGTCCCCTCCTGTATATATGTGTCAATATCACAGCAAAAGACAAGTCCATCCTATATATATATGTAAATATTACAGTAACAGACACGCCCCTCCTGTATATATATATCAATATTACAGTAACAGAGACGTCGATATTACAGTATCAGAGACGTCCCTCCTGTATATATGTGTCAATGTCAGATATATACAATATTACAGTAACAGAGACGTCCCTCCTGTATATAAATGTCGATATTACAGTATCAGAGACGTCCCTCCTGTATATATGTGTCAATATTACAGTAACAGACACGTCCCTCCTGTATATAGGTGTCAATATTACAGTAACAGAGACGTCCCCTGCTGTATATATGTGTCAATATTACACCAACAGACACGTCCCTGCTGTATATATGTGTCAATATTACAGTAACAGACACGTCCCTCCTGTATATATGTGTCAATATTACATAAACAGAGACTTCCCTCCTGTATATATGTGTCAATATTACAGCAACAGACACGTCCCTGCTGTATATATGTGTCAATATTACAGCAACAGACACGTCCCTGCTGTATATATGTGTCAATATTACAGCAACAGACACGTCCCTGTTGTATATATGTGTCAATATTACAGCAACAGACACGACCCACTGCTATTGTTAGTCAACTTATTTGTGCCATTATCCTGATCCGAATAGGATATACCTTACATTCGTCGTGAAGATATGACTTAATCTCTGGAGATTTTATAGCATATTATTGTTGGAATTTAAGTAACATCGGGGTGGAAATTATAATAAAAAATAAGGTTATTCCCTGCATGATTTATCCACCCGTTCTTATCTAAGACAAGGCAGTTGTCTCAGACACACCTAGGTAATTTTTCAATTTGTCTGATACTAATGAAATCTTTGTAGTCATGAAGGGAAATTAATTGCCAGTATTGTTGTTCTGGAGTGCTGCCAATACAATGTCAGATAGACCAGAGTGAACTGGGTAACCTTAGGACTTATGATAACATAACTTACTCCAAAGTCACATTGGGTTACAGTAAGTCTTTCTGCTGGCTCGGTCTCATAGGTTACAGCCTGGTCTACTGGGTATTTCTACTGGTCGGTCTTACGGGTCACTGCGAGGTCTACTGGGTATTTCTACTGGTCGACCTTATGGGGAACAACAAGGTCTACTGGGTATTTCTACTGGTCGACCTTATGGGGAACAAGGTCTACTGGGTATTTCTACTGGTCGACCTTATGGGGTACAACAAGGTCTACTGGGTATTTCTACTGGTCGGCCTTATGGGGTACAACAAGGTCTACTGGGTATTTCTACTGGTCGGCCTTATGGGGTACAACAAGGTCTACTGGGTATTTATACTGGGTCGGTCTTATTGGGTACAACAAGGTCTACTGGGTATTTCTACTGGTCGGCCTTATAGGGTACAACAAGGTCTACTGGGTATTTCTACTGGTCGGTCTTATGGGGTACAACAAGGTCTTCTGAGTATTTCGGTAGGTCTAATGGGGTTACAGCCAGGTCTACTGTGTATTTCTACTGGGTCGGTCTGCTGGGTATTTCTACTGGGTCGGTCTAAATGGTTACTGGGTATTTCTACTGAGTCGGTCTGCTGGGTATTTCTACTGGGTCGGTCTTACGGGTCACAGCGAGGTGTACTGGGTATTACTACTGTGTCAGTCTTACGGGTCACAGCGAGGTCTACTGGGTATTACTACTGTGTCAGTCTTACGGGTCACAGCGAGGTCTACTGGGTATTTCTACTGGGTCGGTCTGCTGAGTATTTCTACTGGTTCTATATAATTGATTACCTGGTATTTTTACTGGGTCGGCGTCAGTCACGACACAAAAGATACAGAGACCACATAAGACTTAGGAATTTATCGATATAAACTTTGATACAGTGGGAAACAGGTTAACAATGCTAAAGGTTTACGTGTTAAGATAGTGTGACAAATTAAGATAAGAAAATTCCTACTTTCAAATACGTATATATACTGTATTAGCAGTTTACATGTATATTCTCGAACTAATGCACGCTCCTGGTATTGCGATATGTGCATGCAGGGTTTGCCAACTAAGGTGTTTACTTCGCCTACAACGCATGCCATTAAAAAGTAATTTTGTCTGCACTAGAAAAAAATTGAATATCGAAAATCGTTTTGTAGATACAGTATAATTAGTTGTTTTCGCGGGGATTATATTTTCGCTAATTCGCGGTACATTAACGTGATCGCGAATATTTAACCCGTTTAGTAATGTGACACGTGTGTATTAGATGAACATTTACCTCCAGGTTGCCAAATTTTTATTTGTTTGAATATACTTATAATTTTAAAAGAAAATCGCGAAAATTTGGCCTTTGTATATTACCAGGTGAACGGTAGTTGACAATGCATTAATTCTACCAGTAAAATGTTTTTAATTGGAACCATAAAGTAATGCTTGAAAGCTACGTCTATAATGACTTCTAGTTCTAATCAATGTATATATTTTAGCGTCACCTGTGTTTACTTTCAAGATAAATTTGACTAATACAAAAAATGCTTATGAAAACAAGCATTTAAACATTTAACCCGGATACATAAATAATGCAATATCTACAAATGACGTAAGTAAAAAAATTAGTAAAAGATCCGGAAGATGGTGTGTGAATATTTGATGGCTTAATGAAAACATTAAACTGAATGATTAAGACGAAATTGATTGGCTAATTTAATATACATTTGAGTTGATTTATGGCAAAAAAAGGGCTAGAAAGCAAGTATATGGCAGTGACGTTGATAGAAAACATATGATGTGTATTTATCTTAAAATGCTCTCAGTTACTTTTCTTATCATAAACGGTGTAAACACGGAGTGACACGCTGTTAGCTAGCTCTGTGGTTGACGCCCATACATATCCGGGTATTGCATGTACAACTTTACACATGTAGGATCAGTACCTAGGAATCTCAGAGATGAGACCCAATTTTGGAAAATACTTGTCATAGATAATCTCAAAACAATATATGATTAATCATATCACTTATAACCATACAATACAGATTTGTTTGAATGTGATAAGACTATGAATTGTGTAGATAATTGCTTCCTTATATGTTCAATATCAATAAAATCAAAGTAAAACAAAACTCACCATGATTTTCTCCCTTTGCACCGGATCAATTTTATCCAGGAAATGACCCAGCTCTGCCTTCGGTCTCATCATTGAGCGGACCTCCTCCATCCGGTTCTCCATCATTTCCACCGGGTCCTCCTCTGGAAGAGAAACACGCAACTTTTTGGATTGTGAATTAAACTCGTCGCGTTTTCGTTGTAAATCTTCCTGTAGTAACCAATTATGTTCCATTTCGAACTCGCCGATTTTTTCCAGTTTTGACCTAGCAGTGGCCGTGTCGTCGTCAAAGTTGAAATAATCGTCCGACGCCTCACTGTCCGCATCGTTAGCGGCTTCTTCATCGTAACTCATGTGGTCGTCCTCACTTTTATCTGACGGTGACACTTCATTTACCTTAGCACTTGCATCTCTTGCTGTCACATCTAGATCTATATCTACATCCGGTTCCAGTTTTGGTAAAATAAGCGGAAGTCGGGTACCGTCGTCTTGTTTTACCACTTCCTTCCGGTGTCGTTCTCTCCTTTGCCGTTGCGCCGGAAATGTAGTTTTCAAACGATGGAGAGCGTCCATTGAGGAACTCTTCTTCGTTGAAGAGACAAAGTCATACTGAGTAAGTGACTTTGGGATGCTGAGGTTGCTATGATACAGCCGTGTATTCCAGGGACGCGGCGCCCTTATGCCCCGTTCTGTCATACTTCAATTGTGGGTCGTGTGCTGGCTTAAACAAAATCAACTAAAAACAGGTCACAAATTTATCCCTATCGAGTCCACTCATAAATCATAGTCGTATAATTCCTTAAATACACATCAATGTGTTTACACTAAACAAAATATCTGATCCCTGAAACAGTTCTGGATCGGAAATCAGTACAGCCATCAAACATTGTTGGGCAAAAATATCATTCTACGAAGTCAAATGTACATGTGAAAGAATAATCCGTAGATCAATCACGTATATTACTAGATACACAAACTTTCCCGTGAAGTGAAACACTGTTCCTCGACTCCATTAGTCCGATCGACTTTCAATCAAGTTTGGTACGACTACGCTACAACCACGTTGTCGGTAACCTAACTGCGCCCTCTGGTGTGAACACGTACAACGAAATCTTCTGCTAATTAAACCGTTGTCTCGCGATTATGAAAGGTGTGCGATGTATAGCCCTACAGGGAATACACGTTCGATGTGTACACCTTCCCACCCCTAACGCCGTCTCAGGTAAACTTTTCGTTTAGCCGTTATTGTTATTCTTTTACGACTAAGCTGATGGTTAATTTGTACTGTGTTGGATAAGTAATACCCGGTGTGTAATTAAATATTGAATGTGATTGATTAAAGGCTTATGCACCAGACGAATGCGCTCACTTTTGTGTATTAACAGTTTAAATCAACGAGAAACCCGATTGTGAAGCCATATTTTTCATCTAATAATAAAACGTTGACTTTTAACTGAGTCGTTTTCAGTGTTCTAAGACTCCTCCCCCTAACGACTGTAAGCTATACCGACATGTCATACTGTATGTGGGCTGACTATTAGCCAAACTCTCGGTATCCTGAGATATGAATAGATGGTGGAAATATGCAGCCTAGTCGGGTATATCTGTACACTGTCTGGCTAAAGTCAGATATACTTAATGGTTATTGATAAAAGTTTTCTTTAACGTATGGAGTTAAATATCTGTCTTATGCTTAATCACGGCAGGTGCTACACAGGTGAAGGACTTAAGACTGATCGGGTGAAAATTACCCAGAGAATAAAACTGTTAATTGAGTTAGTACCTGTAAACTGTCCATAAATCTAACCGGAGATTATGTACATAAATGATAGAATTTATCATTGGGAATTAATTACTTGTTTATTCACAGCACGAGATGCCAAGTAAAGCGCTGACGGCAGGTACATAATGTAAATATAGTGTTATCTGTTACCGGGTATATGGTTTACTTACTGGCACATTGAATAATATAGGCTTCCTTCACGGAATAATAAACATGTGGTTTAATAGAAAATTTTCAATGAGTGTAAGAAAATTAAAACCCTTTCCTGTGATAATCTATGATCGACTATACACCAATGACCATAAATACAAGTGTATATCGTAATGGTGTGTCTATATTGTTATATTTGATCGATATTAGTGTATCAGTGGCAGTCTTAAGTCTGTAGAATATATTATCACATAACAAACATGGAGGAAAGAAACACATATGGGCCAAGGTGTTTCATACCAATCTAGTTTGAAGATTGGGTGTTCCGGTCACAAAGATTGTAATTGCATGTGGTATACTTGCACACCTAATAAGGTATAGTTGATGTGACACGTGTAAATCTGGTGTAGCATTACATCGGTTAATTAGTCATGGCATGATGGTGCATATATATCTAGGGAGTACCTTTCCCATATATAGGGAATGCCTTGTTCCACAACACAGATCTCATAACTAAGCCACTCTCTTTTGTTGCTTTGTATAATATATATTTACGTCGGTTGATATGATGATATCAAAATCAGATGATATAGGTATTATGTTCTTAGTAGGTAAACTGGTAAAACGGTAATAAAGTCTAGAGATTGCCTTCTACATTTCTAATTGGGCAAAGAACACTTTCGACCCCACTTTGAAAACATGTCATGGCTAGATTGATCTAGATTGGTTGGAGTCAATGAAGAACACACTAGCTCATGCGGAATGCCTGGTCCTGTATTTTTCTGGTAAAGTGTGATCGGAGGGACTGATCAAACTATGCTACCAATTTAATCGAAAATGAAGATCGGCTCGTCTGTATTCAATAATAATGACAATGAAAGGTGAAGATCTGTTGTTGAAAATAACGATCCAAAACTCCGACATAACCCGTGGACACAAAACAAACGTTGTGAATATTGATTAAAAAACCCGAGGGCAAAGTCGGGAATTATGGAAGGGTTATTGATATTTCTAGTGCGAAATCTAGTATCACGTTAGAGTTATTGTATACTGGGACAAAAGCAAGGATCATGGTAGAGTTATTGTATTGAGGGGTGAAACCAGGGTCCATGATTGAGTTATGGCATTCGCGGGCAAAATCAGAAGTCATTGTAGGGATTTTGTATCTCGAGCGAAATTAGAAGTCATTTTAGGGTTTTTGTATCTCGAGCGAAATCAGAAGTCATTGTAGGGATTTTGTATCTCGAGCGAAATTAGAAGTCATTTTAGGGTTTTTGTATCTCGAGCGAAATCAGAAGTCATTTTAGGGTTTTTGTATCTCGAGCGAAATCAGAAGTCATTTTAGGGTTTTTGTATCTCGAGCGAAATCAGAAGTCATTTTAGGGTTTTTGTATCTCGAGCGAAATCAGAAGTCATTTTAGGGTTTTTGTATTCTTGAGCGAAATCAGAAGTCATTTTAGGGTTTTGGTGTTATGATCTATAACTACACTTATCGAACAAGTATCACATGTCAGTTTCCTTGGTTTGTAGGACAAGAATCACCAGCCTTTAAGTGTGTGCCAAGGATAAAGTATCATATATTGATTACCAGCAATGCCTTAACACTCTGTGGAACTTTCTCGGACACGCGTGTCTAACTTTATTATATGAAGCGTGTCTACATGTTTCATTGCGCGTGACATAAGTCAACTAACAGTCGACAATGTCGCTGATTTATCGACAAACGTATGAATGATTGATCTCGCTTAATGCATCCAGAATTAACGTTCAAGATGGTATTAAATATTTATAGTTAGGCGATTAACGAACGTGTCCTGGTGATTTAGATTCCCTGTCAGCTGACCTGCACTAAAGACAAAAAATACGATATGTCGTTGGACCTCTTTAGATATTTTCACTTCGGTAAAATATTACACCTAAAATATAACCAGGGCCGAGATTTTGATACATTGTGTAATTATACTGGTTCCTTCCTAAACTTACTATTGTGTTTGGGATGTTGTCTCTGTTTCGTTTCGAGTTATAGAATTTTCAGAGACCATACCAACAACATGCCGTCGACAATCTTCCGCTCGGTCAACAAATTCGCGTGAAAAATAGGAATTCAAAGGAATTAAAGATAACCTGTTAGTAACCTCAGAAAATCATACCGAATCCTTGTCGTCACACTTACCAGAATGTACTGGGATACATAATTGTGTATTGGCGACAAGTATGTTACAAAAACAAAACAAAACAAAAAACAAAACAAAACAAAACCAAAACAAAACAAAACAAAACAATCAAAACAAAAAAAAACATTTAAGTATTTATAGTCGACATATACGATTGCATTATTGCAATGACACGAATGGATACTCTTAAATTTATCAGCATTTTTAAGACAACTTTTGTTGATATTTTGTGTTAACATGTAATAATTAATTTATGGTGTGTATGACTACCGAGGTTGTCTCCCCTTAATGTCTCTGAAAGCGAACTAAAGATTGACTCCCCTTCCGTCTGAGTTGACTTTCAAGCAGATTAAAATCTTGTCACGCGACCTCAGATCAGTTTGTCAACAAGATACAATGTTAATCACTTGTTACGACATGTACTGGAAAATACATATGAGTTTCAAGAATAACGAAATGAAGTTTAAATCCACGGCAATGTTTTCACCAGGACATCAGCGAGATAAGTTTGCTTTATATTGAATACAAATACAATCCATCAACATCACATAACAAATCACCAAATAAATTACCAATATACGTTATACTTTAAAGGGTCATCAAAATATATAACTCAATATCAGCTGTTATTATAACATGGAGAGCAGTTGTCGCCCCTGTCTGCACAAAGTTATACTGGTGTTTAATCTATCATGGGTAGAACATAAGTCCCTGTCTTGACTATGTTATATTGGCGTTTAATATATTATGGGGAGAACATATCGCCCCTGTCTGGACTATGTTATATCGGCGTTTAATCTATTATGGGGAGAACATATCGCCCCTGTCTGGACTAAGTTATATTGGTGTTTAATCTATAACGGGGTGAACATATTGCCCGTGTCCGGACTAAGTAATACTGGTGTTTAATCTATTATAGGGAGAACATACCGCCCCTGTCAGGACTATGTTATATTGGTGTTTAATCTATTACGGGGAGAACATACCGCCCCTGTCAGGACTATGTTATATTGGTGTTTAATCTATTATGGGGAGAACATACCGCCCCTGTCAGGACTATGTTATATTGGTGTTTAATCTATCATAGGGAGAACATACCGCCCCTGTCTGGACTATGTTATACTGGTGTTTATCTATTACGGGAAGAACATATCGCCCCTGTCAGGACTATGTTATACTGGTGTTTAATCTGACATGGATAGAACATACCGCCCCTGTCTGGACTATGTTATATTGGTGTTTATCTATTACGGGAAGAACATACCGCCCCTGTCAGGACTATGTTATATTGGTGTTTATCTATTATAGGGAGAACATACCGCCCCTGTCAGGACTATGTTATATTGGTGTTTATCTATTACGGGAAGAACATACCGCCCCTGTCAGGACTATGTTATATTGGTGTTTAATCTATTACGGGAAGAACATACCGCCCCTGTCAGGACTATGTTATACTGGTGTTTAAACTATTATAGAGAGAACATACCGCCCCTGTCCGGACTAAGTTACACTGGTGTTTAATCTATTACGGGGTGAACATATTGCCCCTGTCCGGACTAAGTAATACTGGTGTTTAATCTATTATAGGG